GAGAGAGAGAGAGAGAGAGAGAGAGAGATTAAAAGACTAAGGATAGGAACAAACTGTGATGAATTATTTACAGAAAAAACCTAAAAAATCTATAGATAAGGTACTGGGACAGATTTTAATATGGTTGCTTCCTATAAAAGAAACAACAACAAAAAAACCCATTTGTAAATACCAGCAAAGAGACAATACAATTAAAAAGAAAATTTGCTATTTAAAATAGCATGAAAAAGTAGTGCCCAGGAATAAATCTAACAAAAAATGTGTAAGACCTCTGCTGAGAAAATTATAGATATTAAAGGAGATACAAATAAATGCAGAGATACAACATAGCCAGGGATTTAAAGATTCAATGCTATAAAGAAGTCTAATCACCCAAGTTATTCTATAAAACAAATGCAACCCCAATCAAAATTCCCAAGTTGGGGCAGGGAGGGCTACAGAATTAACAGGCTGATTCTTTCTATTTGTATAGAATTACAAAGAATATAGCCATACTCTAGAAAATGTGCAAAGTGGGAGGACTTACTCTATCAGATAGCAAGTTTCAATAAAAAAAAACCCCAAAAAACAACAATAATTGAAACAGTATAGTATTGGTATGGATAGAGAAGTGGAACAGACTGGTCAGAAACTGACCCAAGGATATATGGATGCTTGATATATAATAAAGATGGTGCTGCAGAACAATAGTGAAAAGATGAGCTTTATAATAAATGGTGCTAAAGTGGATTACCCATATGGAAAACTAAATGGGGCCTCTACTTCACATGTTACACAAAAATCAATTCCAGGTAGTTTACAGACATAAATGTAAGATGCAACACTAAAAATTTTCAGAAAATAATTATGGGAGAATAACTTTATAACTCCAAGGTAGGGAAAGGTTTCTTCATAAACACACAAAACTAATTATAAACAAAACATATAATAAATTTGACTACATTAACATTGTGAACATTTGTTCACCAAAAGACACTATAGAGTAAAAAAAAAAAGCACCAAACAATGGAATAAGATATTTGTAACACATACAACCAACAACTAGCATCCAAGAAACACAAAGAGTTCCTAAAAAACAGTAAGAAAAAGAAAGCTGACCAATGAAAAGATGAGGAGAAGACTTGAACAGGTATCCCACAAAAGAGAAAATCCAAATGGCCAACAAAATATTTGAAAGGTGCTCAATCTCATTAGGAATCAGAGAACTGAAAATTAAAAACCACAATAAAATTATACAGCCATCTAACTGACAAACATTTTTAAACTTTGACCAAATCAAGTATTGGACAGGATGTGACAATAGGTACATTTACACACTACTAGAAGTGTGCTGCTATAACCACTTCGGAAAATGTTTTGGTTAACATCTAGTCAAACTGAAGATATGTATACCCCATAGCAAAGCAATTCTACTCCCAGGTATAAGCCCCAGAAAAACAAGTGCACATGTAAATCACAATTCATAAACAAATTATTCCTAATTTTTTTCTTTTGTTATTACAGAAAATCCAAAGTCCAAGAAAATAATGGATCAGGGAAGAACACAAGGAACTTTTGAATATCTGGTGAATTTTCTAATTTTAGACCTGAATTGTAATTGCATTAATGTTAACTTTATAATTATTCATTGAACAGTGTTCTTTTATGCTTTTTTAATGTGCATGCCGTACTTCGCAATAAAAACGAAAAAACTAAAAAGTAATTTAATTTTTAAGTAGAATCTTAATGTGCCTAATTAAGCTTGAGGAAAAAAGTTGATGCATGATAAACTTTCTTTCAGATATGTGTAATGTAATGTCTGCACTAAAAACACCAGTAAAAGCAGCTGTTTAAAAGGTATTAAAATTCTGCAACTTCAATCTTAAAAGTCTCTGAAAAATGAACATAATAATTCCATGACATGATTTAATAACAATATTAAAGAATTTCTGAAACAATGGCAGTTGCGAAATATTTCAAATATGTAAGCTTTAACTCTGAATAGTGCTCAAGGAACGAAAAAGGGATGAGCCCTAGCCTGTGTGGCTCAATTGGTTGGAGTGTTGTCCCCTACACTGAAAGGTCGAGGGTTCAGTGCCTGGTTGGGGCACGTATGAGAGGCAACCAATTAATGTTTCTCTTTCTCTCCCTTCCTCTCTAAAATCAATAAACATATCCTCGGGCGAGTATTTAAAAAAAAAAAAAAAAAGGGTTGAGAGTACGAAAATTACATGTATTGAGCCCTGGGCAGTGTTGCTCAGTGGGTAGAGCATTGGCCCACACACCAAAGATTGTGAGTTGGATTCCAGGTCAAGGGCACGTACCTAGGTTGCAGGTTCAATCCCTGGCCACAGTCAGGGTGGGTGTGGGGGCAACCAATCCATGTGTCTCACTCACATTGATGTTTCGTCCTCTCTCTCCCCCTTCTTCCCTCCTCCCTTCCACTCTCTCTAAAAAAAAAAAAAAAAAAAAAAAAAAAAAAAAAAG